TTCCCCCCCCCCCATCCTCCCATCCCGTTTCACCTTCATTCTCCTCTCATCCTGAGCCCTCTTCTCCCTCCCCCCTCATACCACTAAATTAATTCGAAGGTTTAGATGTTGTCCCATCACTCTGCTAAATTGATCAAAGCCTTTATTGAATCCACTTCCTTGAAGATTAATGTTTTCCTCTGCCTTCGATCCAGGCTCTGGCATCAGCTCACAGTGGAACTTCTGGAGTTCACACTGATTCCATGCTTCCCATCTGGGGATAATCTGTTGCAGGTAGGATTATCAGGATTTAAGGCTTTCAAAATCGACTTTATGCATTCCGTTGATGGTTTAGCCTGATGTTTCATCCACATTGTTTCACCCATTCATCACCCCACTATAACAGAGTTGAGGACTTCAGTGTGAAGTCTGAAGTGGAGTGACACATTTGGATCTGCAATGGCAAAGCATTAGACTGTTGTAGTGTTTCACCATAATCAAGAAGAAGATTACAGACTAAAGGAAAACTGAAATTAAAAGCAGAAACTGCTGGGAATGCTTAGCAGCTCTGGTAACATTTTGTGCAGAGAAATATAGGTAAAATTTCAGGTCATCAGTTGAAGGATTATTGATTTGAAAAGATTTCCAGTTTCCACAATTCTGCCTAACCTGGTGAGCATTTTACCCTCCCAAAATTAGCCAGAGCCACTTTATATCTTGCTGCGCTGTGTCCAACCCAAGTTTTGTCTTGCTTTGAAATCCTTTAATCCATTCTGCTGCTATTCATGTATTAGGTCTTGATCCCTGAAACCTCTCATTCTTGTGTTTTGAACCCTTTCATGGCTCTGCCTCTCTCCAATTTTGGAACCTTTTCCAGTCCGACAAGCTGAGCAGGCATTTTGCACCAATGATGTGCTGACATTTGCTCAATTACATAATTGGGTGAAATATTGATAAACTGTGAAACAAAGACTTTAAATTTTAACAGATGTGTTAAGGCTGCAGTGCTATGCTTGGAATGTTTTCCCTCTTCCTACTGCAGAAAGTGTCAGGTTTCATACAGAATTTCTTGGGTTCCGCCACCCACAGGCCTGTCTGTTGAAACAAACGGTGATTTATATGCTTGTGATGTCTCCCCTGCATGTTTTATAAACAGTATAAACAAAATGGTCTGGTGTGTACATCTTCTGCATTATCGATCTGGATGTGATGATGCTTAAAATAGATGGTTTGGCTTCTTCATAAATTTAGAATTGCTTGAATTTATTTTGTGCTTGATACATATTTGATCAAATGATCACCTGGTCATATATAAACGGCTTGAAAAAATTTCCCAAATGGTTCCCAAATAGAGATGTACAGCACAGAAACAGACCCTTTGGTCCAACTCGTCCATGCTGACCAGATATCTAGTCCCATTTACCAGCATTTGGCCCATATCCCTCTAAACTGTTCCTGTTCATAAACCCATCCAGATGCCTTTTAAATGTTGTAATTGTAACAACCTCCACCACTTCCTCTGGCAGCTCGTTCCGTACACGCACCGCACTCTGTGTGGAAAAAGTTGCCCCTTAGGTTCCTTTTAAATATTGTCCCTCTCAACTTAAACCCATGCCCTCTGGTTTTGGACTCCCCTGCCCTAGGAAAAAGACCTTGGCTATTCATGTATCCATGTCCCTCGTGATTTTACAAACTCCTATAAGGTCACCCCTCAACCTCTGATGCTCCAGGGAAAATAACCCCAGCCTATTCAGCCTCTCTGCAACTCAGGCCCTCCAACCCACCAACCCTGGCAAATTCCTTCTAAGTCTTTTCTGAACCCTTTCAAGTTTCACAATATCTTTCCTATAGCAGGGAAACCTGAATGAAGGCAGTATTCCAAAAGTGGCCTGACCAGCGTCTTGTACAGCCACAACATAAGGCTTTGTAAGCAAGCTGCTGGGTCCACAAGCAACGGTGGACTGATGAGTGGAGCAGAACCAGCATGTAGGGCTCGGCCTCAACTTTCTATCTTTCCTATGATTCTGTGTTTGATTCAATTCCATCAGGCTTCATACCTTGCTGCACTGCTGACATTCTAGGTAACTATGGCAAGCTATCCTCCCTGTTCCTCATTTATTTATCTGAAGCTTTTGACTGGTTGACCATATCATTCAGTGAATCACTTGCAATAGTTTCTCTTTCTGCATCCACACCATCAGCTCTGATGGAGGCAACGGCCTACTGATATTATCGCTGGACTGTTAATCCAGTGACCCAGATAATGTTCTAGGAACCCGGGTTTGAATCCCGTGATGGCAGATGGTGGAATTTGAATTCAATGAGAAAAATCTGGAATTAAGAGTCTATTGATGATAGTGAATCCATTGTCGATTGTCAGGAAAAACCCGTCTGGTTCAATCTTGTCCTTTAGGAAAGGAAACTGCCATCCTTACCTAGTCTGGCCTACATGTGATTCCAGACCGCAGCAATGTGGTTGACTCTGAACTGTCCTCTGGGCTATTAGGGATGAGCAATAAACGCTGCCTGGCCAGCAAGGCTCTCACCCCATGAATGAATTTTTTAAAAAAAATCCCGAGGATCTATCTTTGCACCCCTTTTGTTTTGCATCCACATATGATCCTTCAGCAATATCATCCAGAAACATAGGGTCATACAGCACAGAAATAGACCCTTTGGTCTAATCAGTCCAAGCTGACCATGATCTCAAACTAAACTAGTCCAACCTTCCCGCTCCTGGCCCATATCCCTCCAATACGTTCCTATTCATTACTTATCCAAATGTCTTTTAAGTGTTGTAATTGTAGCTGTATCCACCACTTCCTGTGGAAGTTCACTCCACACACTAACCACCCTCTTTTTTTAAAAAAAAAATTGCCCCTCATGTCTTTTTTAAATCTCTCTCCTCTCACCTTAAAAATGTGCCCCCTAGTCTTGAAATCCCCCATCCTAGGGAAAAGACAACTACCATAAACTCTATCTATACCCCTCATTGTTTATAAACTTGTATAAGGTTGCCACATAACCTCCTACGCTCCAGTGAAAAAAGTCCCAGCCTATCCGGGCTTTCTTTATAACTTAAACCTTTCATACCTGGCAACATCCTGGTAAATCCCTTCTGAATCTTCTCCAGCTTAATAATATCCTTCCTATAATTTGGTGACCAGAACTGGAAATAAATTCCAGACATGATGGCAGGTTTCATATATAATATGTATGTGTGACTTGACCTCACTGAAACTCTACTTGTCTGACATTTGGTAGGGAATAAAGATTTATTTCCACTCAGCTGAATGTCAAAAAGACATTTTAAAAATTATTTTTCAGGATGGAGATATATAGTTAGTGGTATGCCATAAAAATCAGTCTGAGGGCTTCAATTATTTACCACTTATATTAGTGACTTGGAGGAAAGGACAGAGTTTAAGGCACACAAATTTGTTCGCAATACAAAAATAATTGGGACGGCATGTTGTGATGAGGTTACAATGAATTTCTAAGGGGATATCAATAGGTTGAGTGATTGAACAAGAATTTGGCAGATGGGCCTTAATGTAGGAAAGTGTGAGGTAATGCACTTTAGTAGGAAGAATCAAAAGGTCGTCTATTATTTAAATGGAGAGAATCTCCAAAGAGAGTGCAGTGCAGAGGGATCTGGGTCTTCTTGTGCATGAAACACACAAAGTTAGCTTGCAGGTGCAGCAAGTAATTAACAAGGCAAATGAGATGTTGACCTTTATTACCACAGGGTTGGAGTTTAAAAATGGGAAATCTTGTTATAACTGTACAGGGTGTTGGTGAGGGGACACCTGGAGTACTGTGTACAATTTTGGTCCCCACACTATTTTAAAAAAAATAGACTAGCATTGGAGGCTGTTCAAAAGAGATTCAGTATGCTGATTCATGGAATGAAGGGTTGACTGATCAAGAGTAGCTAAACAGGTTAGATTTTTATTCATGAGAGTTTAGAAGAATGAAGGGTGATGTTGTTGAAACATACAAGATTCTGAGGGGGCTTGACAGGGTCGATGTTGAAATGATGTTTCCTCTAGTGGGGGAGTCTTACACTAAGGGACATGGTTACACAATAAGGGGACACTCGTTTTAAAACTGAAATAAGAAGAAATTTCTTCTCCCAGAGAGTAGTGGATGGCTGGAAGATCACCAAGTATTTAAAGAAGAGGTCATCAGATTTTTGAAAGATCAACACTTTGATGGCTATGCTGAGCTGGCACAAAAGAGGAGTTGAGGCCTGGGCTGTTGAATGGCTTGTAGGCTTGAGAGGCCAAATGGCCTATTCCTGCCCTTATTTCTTCTGTTCTTATGTTCAAACTTGCCCACAAAATAATAACATGCATTTATACTGGAAATGTATCTCCAGACATAACCCTGCCTTTACTAATTTTTTTACAGTTATATGAACACTTCATAAGTGACTTCGAACACCGGTAAGCATTTGATAGAACGTCTATTGGAGACCCGGGGCACAGTTACAGAAAAGTCAGATTTAGCTAGCTGTAGAACAAATTATCTGTTTTTCGAAGGCTTCTAAAAATGAGCGGAGTTTGGAGTCTGCACTCCTGACTAGAAGCATGGAACCATGCTGACTGGAAAGTGTCAGATAGTGTGGTGCATTGTTAGAGTGGGTGTTTATAAACTACCCTTTGGTATTTTCCTCAGTTTAAGATGTTAACGGGAGTGGAATGACTTTTGGAATCGATGATAAAGTGCACCAAGGGCATTATCAATATGGCAACTATAAGATGACATTTTTAATACAACTCAAAATGAAAACAAAAAGTACTGGAAGTACTTAGGGAGATATTGGAAGAGAAGAAAGATAAGTTAATGTTTTGGATTCATTCTCCATTTGTAAGGTGCATTTCTGTAATTAATGTTTTCTTACTCAGAATAAACCCATTGTCATTGGTGGAAATCATTCTTCGTGTGGTTCGACAGATGAGTGGTATGTTTCTTAACTCCATTTTGGTGTATCTGTTTGTCCTGATGGTTTGTATTTTACCTTGTCAAACTCTCATTTGTGTTGTGTCCTGTATTTTCAAGATATGTAATCATAAAGTAAATGTTTACACCCGACGTGCTTGAAGTCACTGCCATTGAAGTCATGACTATGCACCTGCACTGCAATGGAATTGGAGGTGATGCACCTCTTGTTGCTGCTTCCCCCTTAATCCTTCATTCTGTACTCCCTTTGTACTCTGTTCCCTTCAGCGTCCACTGTGTCCCATTGTCCACCCTCCTTGCTGTCCTATTGCCCTGTGGTGGAAAACAATGGACTTTGCTGTATCAGTGATTTAATAATTTTATATCTCGCCCTTGGACTTAAATGAAATCAGATCACAATGGATTTTTTTTGATCAAGAAATATAACCTTTTAACGTGATGAGTGCGCTCCATCACCACCACTTTGGTTGTGATGGCCTAGTGGTATTATTGCTGGACTGTTAATGGAGAGACCCAGGTAATGTTCTGGGGACCCAGGTTTGAACCCTGCTATGGCAAGTGGTGAAATTTGAACGCAACAAAAATTTGGAGTTTGAAGTTTAATTATAACCATGAAACTGTTGTCGATTGTCAGAAAAACCCATCTGGTTCACTATCGCCCTTTAGGGAAGGAAATCTGCCATCCTAACCTGGTCCAGTCTACATGATTGAGATGTATAAAATTATGAGAGGCATAGATTGAGTAGACAGGAAGAAACTTTCCCCTTGGTGGAGGAATCAGTGACCAGGGGCATAGATTTAAAGTAAAGGACAGAAGGACTAGAGGAGATGTGAGGAAAAACTTGCTATGCACAAGTGGTTTCAGCATTTCCTATATTACAATAGCACAGCAAGCTCCCACAAGTAGCACTGTGAAATTGACTAGATAATCCATTTGTAAATTGAAGGATAATTATAGGCCAGGTAGGGTACTCCTACTCCATGATATCGTGCTATAAGATCATTCTTGGCCCTTTGAAAGGGCAGTGAGTTCTCCATTTACATTTTTATTTGAATGATGGCACCTGAATGTTGCAGAATTCTTTCAGCACTACATTAGACCGTCAGCCTAAATTATGTAGTCCATCTATGGAATGGGGCTTAAAACGATGACTGGCTGACTGTCTGAACCACAAGTGAAACGTTCATCACAGAGGCATGCCTGACACTCTTGTTTTGGGAGATGACTTGATCAGGCTCAACTCCCAATTGAAAAGCCTTCCGACATATTTTATGCCTTGTGTTGATAAACCCCCGCTCTCCCCCCAACTTCTGAAGGTTGTCAGCAACTGCAGAACTATGCGTCAGCAAAACCCCGCATTCCACCAGGGATGAATGGTTGCAAGGCTACTGTAGAGTAGCAGGACTCCAATCATCTGTCAAATGGTGTTATATGGTCTTTGTGTAAAATAGCCTTTCTGGCGCTCATCTCAGTTGTAGGTTAAACAAATCATTGAATCATTATTTTGTGCAAAATGTCATCACCTTGGAATGAGAGTTAAAATGGTAGAAGCTCAAAGAAAGGGTTTTGATTTTGGGAGATTTGCACCTTGACTTTGTTTATGGATTTTGTTTATCTCAGATGCACAGATGGCTTTAAATCTACTTGAAAAGACATGGGAAAAGGTAAGGTGAAAAAGGAAGTATTAAACTGTTTTAGCACTACAATGTGGAACTTATACTGTACCTCACTGCCTCTACTTGCATTTCGGGGAAGAGAAGGAGGATGTTGACGAACAACAAGACAAAGATGTTGGTGACAGTCCTCACTGATGGTAATATGGCAGAATCCTTTGAGATCAAGATTGGTGTCAAGCAGGAATGAGTCATCACTGACACCACGCCCCCACCCTGCCACCCTTTTCTCTAGCCATATGGGTAGGATGCCTGAGTTCCAATTGTCAGAGCATGTCATCTTTGTTTAGTTCGAGGAAGGCACTCAAACTAGAGGAAAATGAAATATTTCAAAGACACCCTGAAGTCTTCCCTCAAGCAGTGCAACATAGATATCAATGCGTGGGAGATCCTCGTTCAGAAGAAGGCAACTTGGAGGAGGTTCCTGGATGAAAGGACACAATTCTTTGAGAACCTCCATTGCCAGGAGGAAGTGTTGAAAATGAACCAGGAAAAGGAATACCAGCACTCTCAAGGCCAGCGACCAGTTCCATCTCCCAGAGACACCTGCCAAGTATGTGGGCGGAGATGAGACTCTCGGATCATCAGCTACACAAGGACCTAATGAATCCATGACCAGTAACACAGAATTTACTGAGTAGACCACTATACTTGTTAACAAGTTATTAACAACAGTCATGACTTGCATCTCATAAGCTTTCAGAATGCATTGATGTGTGGAATGCTTGGTGAGAGAAAGAGAAGTACTGCAGGTGCTGGAAGTCTGAAATTAAAACTGCTGGAAGCATTCTGGTCATGCAGTATTTTTGGAGAGAGAAACAAAGCTGCAGTTTAGGCCTGACTTTCGTCAGAACTGGACAAAGTTAGAAATGTAACAGGTTTTAAGCAGATGAATCAACATAAAGGTCTGCATTAGGATGGAAGACAGGAGAAATTAAATGGCAAAAGAGTTGGTGGTGGGTGTCAAAGGAAAAGGTAATGGGACAAACAAAGAAACCAATGCATTGTTATATTTGGGTGCAATTCCACAGAAACAGGGTCTGGATCAGGGTGGGATATGGTTCCAAAGAGACTGTGGATTGATTAGGCATTGATAGGACCTGGCATCAGGCTTGGATATGATTCTACAGAGACTGATTGTGTGTTACTTTTGAATCTGGTTCCACAAGGATAACAAACCAGCAGAAACAGAACTGCTAAGACATCATTGGGCAGGGATAGGCAGGCAGATTAATTTAGGAAATGGATAACTGAGCAAATGAAGATGAGAATAAGAGGGTACCATCTGCTCAGGGTTTCAAGCAAGAATTGCACAGATGAAGAACAGATCTCTTATATACTTCCCACAACTCAAACTGGAAGAATGAGATGTAATGGCGAGTGTACGAACCTTGCGCATAGAACTAAACCTTGAGTGATGCAAATAATGTCCATTACCTTCCTGTTAAAAATGTTTATTGTTTAAAATAGAGCATGCACATATATCAAGTCGATTTAACAGTAGAAAACAGACTTAGAGTAAAACAGCCTTGGAGAAATCCTAAAGCTACCTGTGTGAAGTGTTCCAGATACTGATTACAGCCTTTTGTCTTTTATCTGACAGGTGAAGGGTGATGATGAAGCCATGATTCTCTGTAGAACTGCCATTGCTGCTATTAAAATCAAAATTGGGGACCTCCAGGAAACTAAGGTAATAAAAGACCAAAATTCCATAGCATGTGTATAGAGAGAGAAGCAGCGGTAGTCTTGAGAAGAGTAGAAAGTGCACCATTTGAATGCGATATGACCTAGCTTTTTAGAAGATTTGTAGCTCGGGTCATGGATGAGGTTGCAGACTTGCTTGCCAAGCTGGTGTTTTTGATTGCGGACGTTTTATCATCCTGCTAGATAACATCCATTGCAAACTGTGGCACATAAATAACAAGTGGATCAGAACACCAACGCTTCACCGGAGGCACATTGACAATGTTACCTAGCAAGGCGATGAAGCGTCTGCAATCAAACACACCAGCTTGGCGAGCAAGTCTGCAACCTTAGACGTGACCTAGCTTTCCAATATGGAGTATCTAATGAAAATACTGGTTGTGAATGGAAAAGCACAGTCAAGAGAAGGATAAACAAAGCGGTTTATTTGCTTTAAAGATAACAGTGTGGAGCTGGAGGAACACAGCAGGCCAGGCAACATCAGAGGAGCAGAAAAGCTGACGTTTCAGTTCCGGGACCCTTCTTCAGAAATGGAGGAAAGGGAGGGGGAGGGGGTCTGAAATAAATGGGGGGGGGGGGGGTCGGGCTGGGGAAGGTAGGTGGGATGGTGATAGGTGAACGCAGGTAGGCCATTGTGGGGATTGGTGAGTGAGGTGGGAGGAGCAGATAGGTGGGAGAGAAGATGGACAGGTCAAGGAGGCCGGGACGAGAGGGAGGGTTGGTCATGGGATGGGAAGATTTTGAAGCTAGTAAAGTCCACGTTGAGACCATTGGGTTGTAGGCTCCCAAGGCGGAATATGAGGTGCTGCTCCTCCAGTTTCCACATCACTCTGTGCTCTGACCGCCATTACGTTCCCTGAAAAAGAAAAACAGCCATCAGCAGAAAGGCTTAATATCTCTGCTCGGACGTGAAAAGGCAGAGTGAAATATCTGCTTCCTGCAATTATATCGCGTTGAAGGCAAACCAAAATACATTTTAAATTATTTTAATTTAAACTCCAATTATTGTTAAACTTAGCATTTTTAAAGTAGTTTCTGTTTTCCCTGTCCCAACGAAGATGATAAAACAATTAGTTTTCCTTCAAATGTGTCAGTTTCTACTTCAAATCATTAACAATATAGGAAATTTGAAATGACGAATTTTATTATGTTGGAACTTGCGCTGAAGACTTCCACACCATTTAACATAAACACAGTTGGACTACGGTCACAATAGAAGTCAGGTTTTAGTTCACCTTAATTTCAATAAAACGCAGTAGAATAACACAGCTCACTAAAAGAAAACTAAATTGTCATTTTTCCTATTCTTTCTTCAGCACCTTTTCAAATAATTGTTATAAAACTGAAGCAAATGTTATCTAACATTAGAAATGAGGACCAAAAAGAATTTTAAATTCTGTTTTGGAATAGTTCATCCTTCTTCTCGATCCAGTTTATAACTTCTGATATTTGCTGCTTAACTTGTATTGACAAAATGTGTGTAACTAAGCCAACATATCATCAGTTTAATCTACAGAAAATAATTGCAGCTTTTTTAACCACTAGTTTCTAGTTTGTTTCAACCAAACATGAAACCAACCTTTTGTGAAGTGGTGGATTTCGAAATTGCACATTGTTAGTCAAAATAGGATGTAAATCAAAAAATGAAATAAATATACTTAACAATTACACTTGCATAATTTTGAGCAGGTATAGAGCCCTTGGAAAAAATTGGAGTTTGTTTCTATGTGGGGATAATGAACTGTTGTTTGTCTTTTATATAAATGATTTGGATGAGAATTTAGGAGGCATGGTTAGTAAGTTTGAGGATGACATCAAAATTTGTGATATAGCAGACAGTGGAAAAGGTTATCTAAGATTACAAAGGCATCTTGATCAATTGGGCTAATGGGCTGAGGACTGGCAGATGGAGTTTAATTTGGATAAATGTGAGGTATTGCATTTTGGTAAAATGAACAAGGGTGGGACTTGTACAGTTAATGATAGAATCTGGATAGTGTTGTCGAGCAGAGACCCCTAAGGATTCAAGTACATAATTCTTTGAAAGTTGCATCGCAGAGTGGTTAAGGTGGTGTTTAGCACGCTTGTCTTCATTGCTCAGACCATTGAGTATAGGACTTGAGATGTCATGTTGATGTTGTATGTGACATTGATGAGGCCACTTTTGGACTACTGTGTACAGTTCTGGTCACCCTGCTATAGGAAGGATATTATTAAATTGGAGAGGATTCAGAAAAGACTTACAAGGCTGTTGCTGGCACTGGAGGGCTTGGGAATTATAAGGAGAGGCTGGGGAGATTGGGACTTCTTTCACTGGAGTGTAAGAGGTTGAGAGATTTATAAAGAGGTTATGGAGGTTTATAAAATCATGAAGAGCTTAGAAAAGGTGAAATGCAAAGGTCTTTTCCCTAAAGTAAGGGAGTTCAAAACTAGGGGGCATTATCTTTAAGGTGAGAGGAGAAAGATTTAAGAGACCTGAGGGGCAACTTTTTCTCACACAGGACAGTTCATATGTGGAATGAACTGCCAGAGGTAGATGCAGGTACAGTTACAACATTTAAGAGATTTGGACAGGGACATGAATAGAAATGATTTAGAGAAAAATGGTCCAAACACAGACAAGTGGGACTAGTTTAGTTTTGGAAACTTTGTCAGCATGGGCGAGTTGTGCCGAAGGGTCTGTTTCCATGCTGTGTGACTTTGACCTTGCAGATCACATCTGCCTGTATACTTCCAACATCCAAGACAAGTCAGAGTTATAGAGCTGTATGCCATGGAAACAGATCTTTTGGTCCAACTTTTCCATGCTGACCATCCTAAATTAATCTAGTCCCATTTGCCCACACTTAGCCCATATCCCTCTAAACCTTCTTTTTCATATACCCATCCAGATGCCTTTTAAATGTTGTAACTATACCAGCCTCCACCACTTCCTCTGGCAGCTCATTCCAAGCACATACCACCCTCTGTGTGGAAAAAGTTGCCCCTTAGGTCCCTTTAAATCTTTCCCCTCTCATCTTAAACCCATGCCCTGTAGTTTTGGATTGCCCAAAGGGTTTGAGCAACCACTAGACTTTTGAAAGGGAGACTTGCATATGAAAAAAATATTGATCCTTCTCATGGATTCATGGCCCAGAGATTTCCATGAATTCTCTCAAACTTTCATACAAACTTTGTTTCTTTGTTTTCAACTTATTGGAGCGTTATCTCAACTGCTTCTTATATTTGTAATAGCTGCACTGTATGCTCCCGCTCCAGCTCTGGCTTCTTGCTCACTTCCTTTCCTCCTCCCTCACTCTCTCCCACAGGTATAGGTGAGATCCCAGCATTGTCACTTAGTGTGATTTTTCTTATTTCCCCGCACCCTTGTCAATTTTAAACTGCTGTTGGTCTGGCGCTATACCGTTTTTGTTATTCCTAGGTGACATGTAGGACATATAAACAAGGAACAAGCGTAGACCACTCAGTCTTTCAATCCTGCTCCAAAAATAAGAAGATCTGATCTTTGATCTGATTTTAATTTCAACTTAACATTCCTGCACATCCCTCAGATTCTTTCATCCCCTTTGTAATCCAGAATCTATCTACCTCTGCCTTAAAAATATTTATAAATTCTGCTTCCACTCCTTTTGAGGAGGGGAGTTCCAAAGACACTCAACCCTCAAAGAGAAAAGGAAGGTTTCCTCTCTTTTAAATGGGTGTCTGATTATTTTTAAGTTATGACCCTAGTTTTAGATTGCTCTATTACTAATTCCCCAGGTTTCTTTTCTGTAGAGCTAACATTTACTTTGTTAACTCTTCTTTTTCTTTTAAATCTAAAAAAAGTTTTTATCTTTTTATATTTTTGGCTAACTTTCTCTTGTATTCTGTGGTATCCTTGAGATTCTACTACTGCGGTTTCGGCACCCAACCTGTACTGCCATTCTCATTGAGTTGTTAATAAATTATATAGTTATATTATCCACTTATTTATGTTGGTTTTTACATTTTATGTTAACTTTACCACTGGTGTATGTAATATGTTAAAACTTGAACAGAATAAGCATCAACCAAATAAGATACTCCTAATAAACAGGTGTCTGTGTCAGATCTGATGTTTGGTTCGAGCTTCCTGCTTTCAAATTCTCCTTTTCTAAAACCAAACCATAAACTTATAAACTTTTCTGTGATCTCACTCTTGCTTTTCTTTTCAACAAGAACTGACTGCAGGCCATTCTTCCCAGTCTGGCCAGGAGCAGGGAGACCTTCTCTTCCTCTGTCCCCCTTCTTTTGCATTGCCCCAGGCTGTCTTTTTATATTCTCTTCCACCTTATGCCCCCAAAAACTCTGGTTCTCTCCCATGTCCCAGTGCGGTGCCCCCCCCAGGTCCAGATCTCACTCTTCCTCCTCCTTACCCCCAACCCTGTTGTGATCTTTTCTGCCTCCCCATCCCCAGGCTGTGTCCCTTGTAAATCTGCATGTGCAGTTTAAAGTGTCACCTGGTGCTAGTGTCAGCAAATGCTGCCTCTCTGTACCATACGTAGTTCCTAACTCTTCCATATTATCTCCACTGTTTTTTTGCGATCTCACTCATGTGATTTCCTGCATGGCATATCTAAGGTTTCAGTCCTGTGCTTATAGGTTTAAGATGCTCTTAACCTGAGATTCATGAGAAATGGCAATAACACATGAGCCCTGTTTTAAAACAACTTTATTAAAAATTCAAAACTACAACTGGGGCAGCACACTAATGCTACATGAGATTATGAGGACAAACATATATGAATTTCTGTAGATTATATCTTTACAGTGACTGACCAAGTTGCATTATTCTCACCTAAGAACGGATTGAGCTTTTCACAACGTCGACGATATTCAGGAACAGTCATAAAGCACAGAAACAGACCCTTTGATTAAACCAATCCATGCCAACTATAATCCCAAACTAAACTAGTCCCACCTGCCTGGGCTTGGTCCATATCCCTCTCTTTCTTATTCATGTACTTATCCAAATGTCTTTCAAATGTTGTAATTGTACCAACATCCACCACTTCCTCTGGAAGTTCATTCCATACAAGAATCACTCTGTTTTCAAAAAAAAAGTCCCTCAAATCTTTTCTAAATCATTCTCCTCTCACCTTAAAAATATGCCCCCTAGTCTTGAAATCCCCCATCCTAGGAAAAGGATACCTACCATTCACTTTATCTATACCCCTCATTATTTTATAAACCTCCATAAGGTCACATCTTGCGTTCCAGTGAAACAAGTCCCAGCCTAACCAGTCTCTCCCTATAACTCAAACCCTCCATTCCCTTGTAAATCTTTTCTGAACACTCACAGATGGATGCCACACCGTGCCAGGAGCCTGACGGAGAACGTGCAGGGTTCAGGGAAGGTCAAGCAGTCTGCTGCCAGAGATTTCCAGGCCCTGCACTTAGGGGGACATAGGGGACGGGTCCTCTGTGACACCCCAGCCATGCTCTTGCCAGCCAAGGCAAGTGCAATTGATTGTCAAATGACCTATATTGACAGGATCCTAAAGGAATATAAATGTTCATAATACAAATCATTCAATTGGATTTTGAGTTCTTTATCTGATACAATGGAATAAAAGTGCTTTCCACTAAGTTTAATTCCATCTTTATTGACTTGCCATACCCTCTGCAGGTACAGCGTGCTTAGGGTTGCTTTTCTTATCTATTTCTGTGCCTCCTGGTCAGTTCAACAACTGGAATACCATCTTAACCTTCAAGCCTACTTTGAGAGGCATTGTTGTTTGTATTTGCTTGTGATGAGTTATTTTTGCTGCACACTAACTTTCATGTTCTAACAAGCATGTCAATTAGGCATGGTTAACTGCAAGGCCTGTTGTGGATATGGTTGCTTACTGTCTATACTTCTTAATGGTCCAACTGGCTCTTTATCTCTAAGACAAGTGCAAAGTTTAATGGCTTTTCCTTTAAAAAAAATTTTGAGTCTCATCATATTGTAGCAGACTAATGAGCTCATGGTAAAGGATCCTTTACTTAAGAGTGATCATCACGTGATAGAACTGCACATTCAGTCTGAGGGTCAGAAACGTGGGTCTAAAATTAATGCCTTAAATTTAAGGGAAATTATAGCAAACTTTGTTTTAACTGGCACTCTAGACAAACCAACAGAAAATTATATTCCTCAAATACTGTGAAGTTTACATGAATGTTCTTTGCAATTATTAGTTTTTTTTTTCACTTATTTACCTCAATGTAAATGAACTTGTTCAATCAAATGGCAACATGAAGTTGAATCAACTGTTGATATTTTGAGTCAATTTCTCCTCAAATACCACAATTGTCTGAGTAATCAGTTGAGGGTGAGAGTGACAAGATTGTCAGCCAGTAAGTTTTATTACAGGCAAAGTTACACTATTGATAGCATTAAAATCAGAACAGAAACAGATACTTCAGTCCAACTTGTCCATGTGGACCAGATATCCTAAATTAATCTAGTCCCATTTGCCAGTGTTTGGCCCATATCCATCTAAATCCTTCCTATTCATGTACCCATCCGGATGCCTTTTAAATGTTGTAATTGTACCAGCCTGCGCCACTTCCTTTGGCAGTTCATGCCATACAAGCACCATTCTCTGCGTGAAAAAGTTGCCCCTTAGGTCCCTATTAAAACTTTCCCCTCTCACCTTAACCTATACCCTCTAGTTTTGGATGCCCCTACCCTGGGGAAAAGACCTTTTTATGACAGTGATGTGTATACCCTCTGTATTATGTTTCTATTACTTAGTGTGTGATTTACATTGATTATGTGGACCTCTTGATCATCTAGAATATTTGATCAATCAGCACACTCCTGGTCCCATAGGTGCTGGGTAATGAAAAGCTTACTGTACAAGGATTTGAAGACACTTGATTAAACTGCACTTGGAAATAAGTTCAAAGTTAAAACAGTAGCTAGTTAAAACACTTTAAAGAGATATTTCATAACACAATAAAAATGTAGTCCTGAAATGTGTCAGTGATAGTCTAAAGAATTAAAGAAGTTTCAGAAACCAGCAAAGGGTAACTAGTTTTTAAAAAATGATAAATTAAAGTATGAGAGTAAACTAGCAAGAAATATAAAAACACATTGAAATTTTCTACAATCACAAATATTGGGGTACAGAAGGCCAATGTCTGCACTGGCTCTCCTAAGCATTTTGATTTATTGCCATGTTTCTGCCACATGGTCATGGGATTCCAGAGAATAGGAATTTCTCCCTTTTCATTCCTTCTCTGGCGTTCTGTCTCATCTTTAAGGTGTTTGTAATGCAGCTCGATAGATAAGTTGTCCACATTTCAACAACTCCTCCCAGTCATTAATACCTGTGCTGCTGAGCGTCAAGGAGAGCTTCAGAATACTTTTGTAGCATTTTCTTTCTCCTGGCCTGGAACACTCGCCGTTTGAGAGTTCAGAAAGCAGGACCTGGCAGGCGAGTTTTTTCTCAGCCATCCAAATACAATGTGCAGTCCACTGTGATTGCAGTATTTCACTAAGGGACCATCCTTCTGATGGGACTTGGCGTTAAGTTTCTGTCCACCTATTTGGGACTGCTTGGCATTTCTCTTGTGGGGAAAAAAACAAAGTTCCTCTGCTGGCCTAGCCAGTATTTACCCGTTAACCAACTTGCTATCCTCCCTAACCACAAAGGAGTGCCAAACCAGAAAGATGGGGAAAGCAAATTCTACATTAGTTTGTAGAACATTTTTCTGTTGTGTTATGTTTGTGGGTCCTTACTGCCCACAAATTAGCCTACATAACAGTGACTATGCTTCAAAAGCAATCTATTGCCAATGAAGCATTTCGGTATGTTCTAAAATTATATAATGTGTTAAAAATTACAAATTCTGCCTTTCTTCCTGAGGGTGGCATTTGAACTTCTCCAGCATTACAGTCAGATCAGCTGGGAGTGATTACAGGGCAGTATTTTTACCTCGGGGCTTGGATGATGTCAATCATGTTGAAAATTTCTTGAATTCCAGTAAAAGTCACTTTTTAATATATTCGTGATTTTTGCTCTGTGGAGTTGCTGGAGCAGTCTGTTCAGTTTCTCTCTGAAAATGTTCTCAGAGTGTGAAATGATCGTAAAATAATCTGAATGGTTCAGTGATAATCTAAATCTTCTATACAAACAAAGATTATTCTCATATGTGAAACCTGTATAAAAATATGCTCCAAAAACATTGGAACTTAGAGACCCAAATAATTTGCATGCTAAAATATACAAGAGGCACTCTGAAATCTCACACATCAGCAAATTACAAACTATGAACGGTCTTGAATTCACCAAGTTTTTTTGCAACTTGAAACATGGCCATTGAGTGTCAATGTGATACATCAATGTGCTTTATATAAGGAGCCTTCCACCCAGTACCAATAACAGCGGAGAAACCGTTCTATAATCTGGGATTGACTGTTTACAAGGCTCTAGTCCAGGAAGAGAGCTGTTAAGCTGCCTCAAATGGTACTTGGGAAAAAATCCACATTGTACTGAAAAGTTTTACAGTGCATACAATGACCATTTTGAAAATGAAAATATCAGCTTAGAAAAAAACTGCTGATGCTGGCCCATAGTGTACAGATTTCACTGTATATCGGCTCGAGGCAGTGTGCAGTCAAAAGGCATGAATATTTAAATGTTCTGAATATATTGATATATGTTTCTTTTCATTTAGTGATATTTCCCAGACCTAATCTGTAGTATCTGTTCTCCCACTTATTAGAAAATCATTGAAGAAGTTGATGAGATGCTGCAGAAGTTGCCGGGAGTAACGTCTGTCCATGGCCGGTTTTATGATACTTCCAGCAGTTACTATCAGGTAGTGGGTGACCACGCTGCTTACTACAGGGAGGCTCTGCGGTATCTTGGCTGCACTGAACTCTCCGACTTATCAAGTAATTGCTGCTCTGCTCCTTTTTAAAAGTATGCAGTTTCTTTTTGATAGCCAAAATTTTGGGGGGGGGATGCTGATTGACAAGATGTCTGTAATTTCTTGCTCTTTCTTCATTCCTCCTTTTAATTATTTTCTTACCTACAAATGTTTTACAAACTAATGTAGAATCTGCCTTCCCCACCTTTCTAGTTTGGCATTCCTTTGTGGTTAGGGAGGATAGCAAGTTGGGTAATTATTTTGTGAATTCAAAATGTCTTGGGACATTGCACACTATTACAGAGCTTGTTTCTGCCAATAGTGACTTTGAAAACAATGGAAGCATCCACCAGTAGGAATAACACATTAAGTGAATCAATTTGTACAGGGCTTCAAATGGATTTCACTGCAAGGCAAATCTCTTACACATGTGCACACATACAAGCACAGTCATCAGCTGCATAAACAGAGCAGAGAGCCTGATTTTGTTGGAACATAAAGATTACGTGATACTCAGTTCCACAATTTCTGTGCTGAAATGCTCCTAGTTAGTGAATAAAATAATCTAAATATTTTTGAACAATCTAATTTTGTCAGCAGTTGGAAATTAATTGAAATCTACAGTTTAAATTTGAAAATTGCTGGTCTGCTAAATGTGCATGGACATACTGAATTATAGAATAGTTCAGTCCAGAGTAGGGATTTAGTACAAAATGTTGGGACCAGTTCTTTTTAGAATGATTTGGTTCGTCTCAATTTCTCAGTCTTTCCCTTTACATCTGCAAATCTTTTTCACAGAAATACTCATCCAACTCCCTTTTGAAGTTTGCATTGATCCCATGTGTTTTATTAATTCCCATGTTTACCTGACTTGCCACCTTCAAATACTTGCTGAAACACCACTATACCTCTCTTCTGTTCCACCTTCTTTATAATTATACTAGTTAGCTTATATTGTCACCTCCATGTTCCTTCCAAAATCAATGATGAATTTCATTGAGCATACATCGGCCCATTACAGTAGTGTACCCGTGTCTTAAAGTCAATGCTATCCTCCTCACCGTTTACTTATCCCAGTTTTCTGCCATTTGTAGATTTCACAATTATGTCTGGAGCCCCCAGCTCAAGTCACTAATGTGTATCTAATACAATGACCCTAGTACTGAATCTCAGATAAACTTTACGGTCTATTTCTTGTCCAGTAGCCAATTTTATGTCTATGCTGCTACTGTCCCATTTATCCTGGTGGCTATGTTTAACCAGCAAACCCAAAATGTAATACTTTATCAAATTACTTTGAAAAACTCTGTACACAATGTTAACTGAACTCCCTTCATTCATATCCTCACTGTTGCCTCAGCAAAAATTTCAATCAAGTTGGTCACGATTTGCCCTTAATATTTTTTTGCTCGATCTCCTTTTTTAGGTGATGCTTAGCCAAGTGATTGTTCTTTTTCCCAGATTATCAGTTATATAGGGTCTCGCCACTGACTTTATTCTCCCCCTTTATTAACAAGAATGTAAAATTTACAATTTTCCACTCCTTTGACACCACGCCTATATCTAAATAGATTGGTCTATTGCAGACAGCACCAACACCAATTTCTACCCTTACTTCCTTCAATGACTTCAGTTGTATTCTCATCCGAATGTATACATATATTCAGTTTGAGTACTAGAAAGATTGAAAGTATTTCTCTGCTTTTAATTTATCCAGTATATTCTCAAATTTCTGGCATGCCACAGCTTTGATGAAGACCTCTCATTTGGTGAATTTGAAATGATTTTTTTTCTGGGTACCATTTGCTTCTTGCACTAGTGCTCAGGAAGAAACAGTTTTTAACCTTTTTTAATTTTTGTTTTCTTCATTAGTGGGTTCACAGCAGCAGAGAGCATTCACTCTCGGCCTGGCTGCGCTACTGGGAGAAGGCATTTATAATTTTGGTGAGCTGGTGAGTGGCAAATAAAAGAACTTGCAGAATTGTTCTTGACAGTTCATGAATCATTTTCTCAGCTGCTTCAGAATTACGGTTGTTCAATGGGTAAATGATGAGTTGGATCGTACAATCAAATTATTCAATAGTACAGTTCTTAAAAGTCGTAGAACTCAGGAAACAACGTTAATTGCTGCCTTAAGTACATTGCTAATCACTTATTGATACCATATGTAATATTCTGCATTTGAACTTCAGCTGTATGTTGTGATGAAATCATTGTATATGCTCTTCTAATTTTATCAAACATTCCTGTTGAGTCCTGAAGCAGTTACTACTCCTTCCTTTGTATTTATATGTGGCCTTGTATTTTAGTCGAAATCCACCTGTTAGTGTCTGGTCTCTCTCCGTGCCTGATTTGACTTGCATACTCATCGTTATATTGTGAGTACAAAATTCAGGAGCATATTAAGCTGGTGGTGGCCACTCTGCACACTAAGAAGCAGACGGAGCACAAATCCTTTGGGAATGCGTAAGGAGGAGGGAATCAGATTTCTGAGCAGGAGGGGCCTGTACAAGTGACATGAGACTTACTTGCCTAGGACCAATAGCTCCATAGGAAGGTTAACAAGTCCAGTGGGAGAGGATTTAAACTATTAGCAGTAGGAAGGCCACCCTCCCAATAAAACGTTAGAAAGCAGAAACAGAATCTGCAGAGGAATAGGATATACAAGTAGCATTGGAAGGAAACGTAGTTCAGAAATAGGAATGATCAGACAGAAGGGCTGCCGAAGATGGATTTGGATTGCATTTGCACAAGTACTCAGACCATGGTAAATAAAGTTTGGTGAGCTGCAGACACAGGCAGCTACATTTTTCACATTTATGGTATTTTGATAGTGGAGACTGGGTCAAAGAAGGAAAGGGTGCTTTTAATATACCTGGCTAAAATATATTCGGGGAAAAATGAGAAGAAAGAAAAGGAGAGATGATGGCTACACTGAACTAATATATTGTTACAGCATTGGAATGGTAAGAAACTGCTGGTTCAAATGCAGATCTACCCAAAATTAACAAAGAATGGAAAGCTATTGCGTAAGAAACCGGCAGGTAAAATTGGAAAAGAGATAGAGAAGTACATTGCAAAAAGATATAGAAATTTTAAAGGGGTTTTGTAATACCCACTAGAGATTTTGCAGTTATGATATGAAGAGCAAAAACAGGGAGGAATTTTTGATAAGAATCATAGAATCCCTACAGTGTGGAAGCAGGCCATTTAACCCATCGAGTCCATACCAACCCTCCAAAGAGCATCCCACCCAGATCCAACCCCTACCCTATCCCTATAACCCCGCATTTCCCATGCCTGATCCACTTAACCTGAACACTAGGGGCAATTTTGCATGGCTAATCCACCTAACCTGCACATCTTTGGACTGTGGGAGGAAACCGGAGCAGTCGGAGAAAACCCACGTGCACAAAAAAATTTTCTTCTTCAGTACATTTTAGGCCTATGAGGAAGGAATCTTGCAGTTGCCTGAGAAGGTGCCATGCTAGGGGAATGAGGTGGGAGGGGAGCACATCAAGGTGTCACAGAGACACCGATCCCTTTGGAATCCCGACAGAGGTGATGTGTTTGGTGGTGATGTCATCCTGTAGATGGCAAAACATCCTTTGAATGTGGAGACTGGAGAGGTGCAAAGTGAGGACAAGAGAAACTCTGAGATAGTAAGAACTGCTGATGATGGAGTCAGATATAAAACAGTGTGGAGCTGGAGGAACACAGTGGGCCAGGCAGCATCAGAGGAGCAGGAAAGTTGACGTTTCGGTTCGGCACCCTTCTTCAGAAATGGGGGAGGGGGAAGGGAACTCTGAAATAAATAGAGGAGGGGTGGGGCTGGGCAAGGTAGGTGGGATGGTGATAGGTGAGTGCAGGTAGGCAGTGGTCGGGATTGGTCAGTGAGGTAGGAGGAATGGATAGGTGGGAAAGAAGATGGGCAGGTTGTGTCAGGTCAAGGAGGCGGGGATGAGGGGGAGGGTTGGTCATGGGATGAGGCTGGAGTGGGGAGATTTTGAAACTGGTAATGTCCACACTAAGACCATTAGGTTGTAGGCTCCTAAGGCTGAATATGAGGTGCTGCTTCTCCAGTTTGCCGGTGGCGTCATTGTGATACTGGAGGAAGTGGTTCAAGAAGGATGGAGTAGGGGCAGAAGTGCTGAAAATGGATCTAATGTGGCTGAGGGCCAAGCCAACCAGAGTTGGGGTTTTCCTCATTTGGGGAAAAAGGATTACATGTTGGAGGCACTGAAGCATCATCAATATAGATGCAATGGGGTCGGGGTGGGTGGGATAAAGAGAGAGAGACTTGGAAATGGAATGGAATTCTTACGGGAAGTAGGGCGTGACAAGTATGGTCAAGATACCTATGGGAGTCGATGGGCTTGTTATGAATATTAGACAAACTATCCCTGGAAATGGAGAATGAGAAGTCAAGAAGGAATGGCAAAATATCAGATGTAATGGGTTAGCTCTGGGTGAGAGAAGGAGGTGGCACCAGTAGTCATTGACATATAGAGAAAGATGTAGGAGGAAACGCAAGTAGAACTGGAACGGTGAATATTACACATACTCCACATAATGTTACGTAAAACAGGTACCTGTAGCCAAGCTTTGAATTTGGAGGAAATTCAACAACTTAAAGGAATCTTTCAATGAGGGAACAACCTAAGGGGCAGGCCATTTAAGAATGAGATGAACAGGAATTTCTTCACTCGGATGGTGTTGTCTTTGGAATTCTCTGCCTCAGCGGGTCTTGAAGGATCAGTCATTGAGTACGTTCAAGACTAAGCCGGATTGCTTTCTGAGGATTTATGACATCGGGGTATGGAAATAGCAGTAGAAAGTGAGCTTAGGATCATGGCAGATCATCTACCTTATGTTGGTTTTCAACTGGTGTGCTACTACCAAGTGACAAGAGCACCTTGAAATTTTCAGGAAGCAGCATGTATTACTTGAGTGTTGAGGCTATGCCTGTAGTTACAATCTCCTCCACAGCCTTGATGCCTATTATCAAAGGCAGTATCTGCTGACACCAGGCACCCTGTCAAATGTGCACGTGCAAGATGCTATGGATGAGATGATGGCTGTGGTTTTGTCACAACTGTTAATCCAGAGACCCAGGTAATGTTCTGGGGACCTGGATTCAAATCCCACCATAGCAAATGGTAGAATTTGAATTCTTTGAAAATCTGGAATTAAGAGTTTAATGATGACCATGAAATCATTGTCAATTGTTGATTGTTCGCTTACTAATGCCCTTTAGGGAAGGAAACTGCCACCCATACCTGCTTTGACATACACATGATTCCAGACCAACAGCAATGTGGCTGACTCTCAACTGGAAGGCCAGCATTTAACTTCAATTAGGAATGGGCAATAAATGCTGGCCTAGCCAGTGATGCTGTCATCCCATGAATCAATTCCTAAAAAATGCCCACAAGACCACAGATGGGTATACGATACATGCGTGGACCTTGTAGAATTTTCTCATTGAAGTGTACCTTGATACTGTAAAGGTTGTGAACTACTGATCCATGTAAATGGTGGAGCAGGCTCAATGGGTTGAATGGCTTTCTATGTTCCTAGTCCAGTGGAGGGTGGCGGGTGGATGGGAACTGTTCAGGCCTTTGGTCAAGTTAGAAGAAGCAAATGTTGGATTGTTCTGGTGGTAGATGGAGGTATTCCTGAGGGATTTGACATCCATCTTAAAAAGAATATGGTGAAGGCCTGGAAACTGGCATTTGTTGAAATGAGTGACACCAACAAAATCACTAACATAGGTTCAGACAAGGCAACAATAAGTAGACAATATAGAAAGAATTCAGTGGGACAGAGTCGGGCTGAACTGATGGGTCTGCTAGGTCAATCCTGCTTGTGGATTTTTGGGAAGGAGGTAGAAGTAGGCAGTTTGCGTTTGAGCGATTATAAGGTGAAAAGCTGTGGAGGGAAGATTTCCATAGGTGACGAGATCAGTGACAGTCCTGGAGCCAGTGGCTTGATGTTCAGTTATGGGGGTCATAATCCAGAGAGAGATGGGAAGAAGCAACTGTGAGTTGGTGCTTTACCTCTGCAAGGCAGAGGTCTCTGCACCAGATGACAAAAGTACCACCCTTGGCAGCAAGTTTGGTAATAGGGTTATAACTAAGAGAATGAATTGCTAGGAGTTCTGAGGGAAACAGGTTAGAGTAGGTAAGGGGATGGGATGCAGAGAAATTGTCACAATAACAAGTAACACCCCAGAAATGGTGATAAACCAGGCAGTGGCACGGAGGGAGGAAACATAGGGGATCACCAGTGAAGTAGTCTTGATTAAACTATTGGAGTCGTGGGCTGACAAATCTCCATGCCCTGTTGGACTGCAGGTTTTTAAAAGAAGCTAGTGAGAGTTTATGTATTGTTTTCAATTTTCCAAAACTCCCTTGATTCAGGTACAGTCTCATCAGATTAAACTTAGCAAATGCAACTCTTATTCAAAAGGGTGGCAGACCATAAAAGGATAGTACAGGTCAGTTAGCTTAACTGTCATCTATCTGTCATAGGAAACATCATTGAAGCTGTTATCTAAGTCCCCTAGTAAAACTTCTTGAAGTTCAGAGTAATCAGATTGAATCAACATACATTTGTGAAAGGGAAATCATGTTTGACTAACCTGTAGGAGTCCTTTGAGGTGGTAACAAGTTCTGTGGAGAAAGGAGAACTTTCGGAGGTACTGGACTTGGAATTCCAGAAGGTATTTGAAGTGTGATATCAAAGGTTATTGTGCAAAGCGAAAGCTCACGGTGCGAAAGTGGATAGAAGATTGCCTGTGTGAACAGATAGCATAATGTGTCTTTTTCAGGTTGTCCAGATATAACATTTGGTATGCCATAGGGATCAGTGCTCCGGTTTCAACTGTTCACAATTTCTGAAGAATTTTGATGAAACAAATGAAAGTATGGGTGTCAAATCTGCTGTTAACATAAACTTCGTGATAGAAAAGTAAGTTGTGAATATGGCATAAGGAAGTTACAGAAAAATACATCAATGTTAAGTGAGTGGGCAAAGACTGAATATTGGGGCAAATGTAACATTGTCCATTTTGGCAAGAAGAATAAAAATTTTTTTTCTAAATGCCAAGAGTTTGAGCAGCTTTGAGATGTATCAAGGTGTCCTAGTGCATGTATCGTAAAAGATTAGTGTGCAGGTACGGCAAGTAATCAGGAAAGCTAATTTAATTTTATCACATCGCAAGGGGTATGGAATACAAAAGTAGAAAACTTATTCTTCAGTTTTACAGGGCACTTGTGAGACTACATCTGGAGTAACGAGCACAGTATTTGTCACCTTATTTAAGGAGGGATGTAATTATGTTGGAAGCTGTTCAAGGAAGGTTTGCCAGAATGCATGGAATGAGTGGGTTAACTTATGAAGACAAGTTGGGCAGTCTAGGCTTGTATCTGCTGGAGATTTAGAGTAAAGGGCAACTTGATTGAAAATATAAGATCCTAAAGGATCTTGGAAGGATAATGTTGATAGAATGTTTGTTCTTATGGGAGACTCAAAGTCAAGGGCTTTTCTAAATCAGGTATTGACCAATTATAACAAAGTTCTGAGGATTGATCATCTTTGGAGCTCTCTTCCTGAAAAGGTGGTAAAGCAAAATACTTGAATATTTTGAACACAGAGGTAAATAGGTTCTCATTAATTAAAGGGTTAAGAGGTAATCAGGAATGGGTGAGAATGCAGGAATAGGCAGCACAGGCTCAAGGGGTTGAATTGCCTACTCTTGCCCTTTTGTTCATATATTCAAATTGTTTGCATGCTTTGCTTTAAGTTGAACTTTATTCTGAACTTTATTAATGCCTACTCTGGACCAATGCTTTATTCCTTCTTTACAACCTTTAGCATTCCCTCTGCCTTTTGTTCTGACGCCTTTGATTCTTGCCCTAAACCTTCCCTGACTTTCCTTTCTGCTTCTCTTATTCTGCAGATTTTTCCATATCGTAAAGCCCATCACATTTCCACCTCTTTTCAGCTTGGGAAAAATATCATTTTGGATTCAATTTTAACTATGTTCTTGTCTCCAAAGATGCTGCTAATCCTGCTGATTTTCTCCAATATGTTGTTTTATTTCAAATCTCCAGCATCTACAGTAGTTTTATTTTAAAGTTTGTTTCAAGTTTATTTTACTGGGGCAAAATGTCTTTTGTATATTTGGAAGTTGTTGACAATTACAGGCATCCTTTGAAACTAACTTGTGATGACAACATTTGTAACATGTGGAAGTGTATTACTTCTACATAGACTGATGTCTTTCCTCTGTTTACTGTGATGATACAACTATTTCATTTTTTTTCAGCTGATGCACCCAATCTTGAATTCGTTGCGTGATACAGAGAACCAATGGTTGATTGATACTCTGTACGCTTTCAATAGTGGGGATGTGGAGACCTTCTTCTGTCTGAAAACTTACTGGGGAGCTCAGGCATGTTGAATTTTCCTGTCATTCTATAACATTTAGCCGAATAACTGTAAAATATGGCTTAAGGTTTAAAATTGCAGGATGACTTATATAATGTAAGTTAGTGAAATCTTTATTGAATGACGTGATTAGAACAGACATACTATGGACAGGGAAACCTGATAAACTCCAAATTCAGAACCTTTGTCTGAAATGCAATTGGAGCATTTTCAGGCAACTGTGAATATAATGTGAAATAAAGATATGGCAATCTGCTGGTGATGACATCACCAGCACACATGTGGACAAACCCTGACCCCTGTCTTGGTCACCTGATGTCACTGGCTCCATCTGTGTACGTATGGGCCCATTTTATCAGCAATTTTGGCGCTGGAGTAAATACACAGAATCAGTAGAATAAATATATTCATACCATTATTGCAATGAGATGATGGACAGAAATCTTTTGTTAAAAAGGCAGATATGGCAATCAATCTTTACTATGTTATGTCCCAAACTCTCTTTAATTGTTGTATTTTGTCTTTAGATGTGGAAAGATTGCTGATGAGCTGGTCTTAGGGGAAAAGGGGCCTTTGACAGTATGAGCAAGAATCAGTACCACAGCCATAATGATATTATGATCTGATGTTTTGTGGAGCTAAATGTGGTTCTGATCCATGTAGATTAGATAAGTTCCCAGCTTGATTACTGGTACTGCATGAGACAGCAGTAGTTCAAAGTGGCCGGGCTTGGCAACTCTAGGCTAGCACAAAAATAATTTCCAGTGTTCGGGTTCATGATCGTGATTCTGGAAGAGCAAGTTTGTGGCAGATGAATGAAAGTGGAATCTGGTGGAGTCTTTCTGCCATGGCTAACTTCTTTCAAGTAATTGGCCGTGTTGAGGGCAGGGACCTTGGTATGAGTCAGGTTATGGGCAACAGGATGTACTGAAGCTGGGAGAGGAATTTTCAGCATGGGAGAGTAGCCTTCAATAGTACAGTCTGGTGACAAAAACACAGTTGAGGGCTTCAGTAGCAGATGGGCTGAAGCAGGGAGGAGATACATAATGATATGTAAATTTTCATGTTTTCCCAATCTTCACTTGGAGAACACAGTGAAGTAATACAACAATTACCCGGATTTCTTTCCAAAGCAACAGCTATTTTTACCATAGTTGAGAGGTGGAAGGAGAAACTCAAACTGCTTTGCCTGATGTAAGGAAATTCTAGCAACTCGGACATAGTACAGGGAGGAAGACCAAGGGTGGTGTTCCCAACAAAGGGTGGGAACTGCTGTTTTCCTTTATTTGATTCACTGAAGTGAAATCAGAACACTTATACGTTTATTATCCGAGCAGAAAGTCTGGGCAGAAAAACTGGCCCAGTCTAGCCAAACCCTTGTTGTATGTAATAGTGACATAGACACTAATTTATCTTTTCTTCTCTGGCAGTCTGATCTAGCCAATAATGAACAACGATTGAAAGAGAAACTGCAGCTGCTGTGCCTGATGGAGGTAAATTCTGCAGTTACCAAGTTGCTGTGGTAATGTCACAGTGGTGAATGAAGAGCAGGCTGATAGTTAATCTGCAATAAGCACTTTCTAGGATTTTTCAATCCTGAATTTGATTTTAATGTTCAGTCTTACTGAACTGAGAACAGGCTTGAGGGACTGAATGGCCTACTTCAGCTCCTAATTTATATATTCAAATGTTTGAAAGTGAGAATTGCCTGGCAACTGTTTCTTTCTTGCCAGTGTGGTTGCTATACTTTACCAGTCCAGTAACATATCATGTATATTGATCTAAAGTCATGAATTGATAATCTGGAGTCAAGGGGTTCCAGCCCCACTTTAACAGCTTGAGAACTTGAATCCATGCTTGAAAAAATGCATATGAGTAAAATTGATCATAGGCTATTTGTATCAAACCTAACTGATTCAGTAATGACTGTCATAAAACATAAGAGACTTCAGGTGTAGATGAGCAAACTGATCAGAGCACCATGGTACAGGGAACCATTGTAGAATGGGGTAGGAAAGAAAAATGTAGCTCTTATCCTGGATAGGATAGTGAGGGGGAATAGACACTGGCCAGGAACAGGAGTCTCAAAGGCTATGTTGCTTGCTGGTGCCTGGGTTCCTGCCTAGTATCTGGGTTCAGATATCTCATCAGGGCTGCAGAGGAACCTGGAGTGGGAGGGGAAAGATCCAGTTGTTGCGGTCCATGTAGGTACCAACGATAAAGTTAGAAAGAGGAAAAAGGTTCTGCTGTAGGAATATGAACAGCTAAGGGCTAAATTAAAATGCAGAACCAAAAGGTAGTATTCTCGGATTATGACCTGACCCATGAGCTAATTGGCACAAGATTAAAGAGATAAATGTGTGGCTCAAAGATTGGTGTGGGAGAAACGGGTTTGAATTCATGGGATATTGGCACCAGTACTGGGGAAGGAGGGAGCTGTTCCACTGGGACAGGCTTCACCTGAATTATGCTGGGACCAGAGTCCTGGCAAATCACATAACTAGGGCTGTGGATTAGGCCTTAAACTAAATAGTTTGGGGCAGGGTGTAGGGCTTTAAACTGAATAGTTGAGGGGCAGGGTTCTGAAGGCATAGTATCTTTGGGATTAGAGTTGAGGAACTGCAAAGGAAAAAAGATGCTGATGGGAGTTTTGTGTAGGCCTCCTGGCAGTAGTAAGGATGTGGGGCAGAAAATAAATCGGGAGATTAAAAAGGCATCTAAGGAAGGCACTTTTTCAATATTTACAGGGAACTTCAATATGCAGGTGGACTGGGAAAATCAGGTTGGTAGCAGATCCCAGGGAAAGGAATTTGTGAATGTTCATGAGATAGGTTTTTGCAGCAACTTGTGGTACAGCCCACTAGAGAACACGTGGTTCTGGATTTGGTGTGTAATGAGGCATACTAGATTAGGGATTATAAGAGGAATGAACCCCTGGGGGCAGTGACCATAAACCACAGGGTGAATTCTAATGAGAGGGTGAAGCTGGAATCAGATGTAACGCTGTTACGATTAAGTTAAGGTAACTACAAAGACATGAGGGAGGAGCTGATCAGAGTTGATTGAAAGGGGACCCTAGCAGGGAAGACAGTGAAACAGCATTGGCAGGAGTTTTTGGGATAATTGGGATAATAGGCACAGCAGAAATTCATCCCAAGGAAGAAGAAACATACTAAAGGGATGGTGCCACAATCTTGGCTAACAAAGGACAGCATAAAGCAAAAGTAAAAGCATACCTGTGGTGAAGATTAGTGGGAAGCTGGAGGATTAGGAAGCCTTTAAAACTAGTAGATGACTACTTAAAGCAAGGAGAGGGGAGAAGATGAACTATGAGGGTAAGCTAGCTAATAATATAAAAGAAGATTGCAAGAGACTGTTATAGATCTTTAAAAGATAAGAGTGGGCATTGGACCACTGGAAAATGAGGCTGGAGAAGTACTCATAGGGTACAGAGAATTGGCAGAGGAATTGAATAGGTATTTTGCATCAGTTCTTCGTGGAAGACACCAGGAGCATATCAGAACTTCAAGAGATTTGTGGCAGAGGTGAGTGTAGTGGCCATTACTAGGGAGAAGGTGCTGAGAAAGCTGAAAGATGTTTAAATCATCCTGACCAGACGAACTACACCCCAGGGTCCTGAAGGAGATAGCTGAAGAGATAGTGGAGGCATTAGGCGTGATCTTTCAGAAGTCACTGGAGTCAGGGAGAGTCACAGAAGACTAGGAAATGGCCAGTGTAACAGCCCTGTTTAAGAAGGGAAGGAGGCAGAAGACTGGAAGAGGATTAACCTGACCACGGTCATTGGTCAGGGTTTAGATTTATTATTAGTGATGAAATTGAGGAATTCTTAGGAATGCATGGTAAAATAGGGCACGACTTCTTCAAGAGGAGGTCATACCTGACAAATTTGTTAACATACTTTGAGGAGGTAATGAGCAAGTTAAACAAAGGAGAGCCAATGGACGTGATCTATTGGGATTTCCAGAAGGCCTTTGACAATTTGCCACACAGCAGGCAGCTTGCTAAGATGTGAGAGCCCATGATGTTAGGGGCAAGATACTCGCCTGGATAGAGGATTTACTGACCGGCAGAAAGTAGGGATAAAGGGGTGTTTTTCAGGATGGCAGCCAGTGGCTGGTGGAGTTCTGCGGGGATCAGTGTTGGGACGAAGCTATTTATGTCATATATTAATGATCTGAACAAAGGAACTGAGGGCTTTGTTGCTAAGTTTGCAGATGACACAAACGTAAGTAGAGGAACGTGTAGTGTTGAGGAAGTTGGGAGGCTGCAGGAGGACTTTGACAGGCTAGGAGAGTGGGAAAAATGTGGCAGATGACATACGATATGGGAAAGTGTATGGTTATGCACTTTGGTAAGAAGAATAGGAATGAGGACTATTTTCTAAATGGGGAAAAGCTTTGGAAATCTGAAGCACAAAGGGACTTGGGAATACTAGTTCAGGATTCTCTTAAGGTTAACATACCGGTTCAATTGGCAGTTAGGAAATCTAGTGCAATGTTAGGCATTCGCTTAAGGAGAGTTAGAGTAATGCTGGGGTTGTATAATGCTCTGGTCGTGTTTGGAATATTGTGAGCAATTTTTGGCCTTGTAACTAAGAGAGGATGTGCTGGCCTTGGAGGAGGTTCAGAGGAGCTTCACAACATGATCCTGGGAATGAGAGGCTTGTCATATGAGAAGTGGTTGAGGACTGTGGGTTTGTATTTGATGGTGTTTAGAAGGATTGGGGGTGGGGGGCAGGGTTGGTGATGGGGATTTCATTGAAACTTACAGAATACTGAGGCCTGGGGGGAGTGGATGTGGAGAAGATGTTTCCACTAGTAGGAGAGACTAGGACAGGGCACGGCCTCTGAATGAAGGGACGACCCTTTAGAACTGAGATGAGGAGGAATGTCTTCAGCCAGAGGGTGATGAATCTGTGGAACTCATTGCCATAGAGGGCTGTGGAGGCCAAGTCATTGAGTGTATTTACTACAGAGATAAGTTCTTGATTAAAGGGCCCGAAGGTTATGGGGAGAAGGCCGGAGAAGATGTTGGAGAAACTTCAAACATGATTGAATGGCCTAATTCTTCTCCTATATCTTATGGTCTTAATTAATATAATTGACTGTTACTTGCATGCTGAAGTGGGCTAGGAAGTCCCTCAGTTATATCAAGCTGCTCCTCAAAGGAAGGCTAATAAATGCTGCTAGCAATGCCACCAATGCCCATATGTAGCAAACCACTTCTGAAAGTTTAAGGAAGTAGATTTTATTGAGGGCACTTTATCACATTTGATAAAACTGAGTTGTTTGACTGCTAAGGGAAATGAGTGACCTTGGTCTAAACTTGCAAGTTTTCTTTCTGTCTCTCCCATTTGGCTTCTGCTAAGCACCTTCCTGGACATAGGTTAAAAAGCAGGCTCTCATCTCCTGGCACTAATTTTGACAGCTCCGAATCTGTGCTGTGACTTTGTTTGAAAGTAGCAAGACCAGTGGTGTGATTCCTGACCAAGGTTTGAGCCATTTTATTAAAGCAAACAACCCTAGCGCAGTTTTTTAAAAATTGAGAAGCCGGGGAGGTTACAATTGCCACGTTAGCTGTTAAAAGGTTTAGTCCTGCTTTAAGCCACTAATCTAAGTAGAAGACAGCACGTTTATCCCATTATGCATAGTCCTGGTGGGCTATCACAATTCACTGGGGGAGGTTGTTTGAAGGAACCCAGTATCTTAATGCTTTTGCAAATTAATTGATTGCTGTGATTTTAAAATGTGTTCCCAGAATTGACTATACAACTGTCAGGAACGGTTGAGCAGTCTGGGCCCTTGAAAAGTCAACAGTGACCAACTGCTCACTATACTAATTAGATCTGTAACTATTTACAAAGGGATCTCATATCCTGTGGTTTGTTTCTAGATTATTTTCTGAACCTCACTGCCATTACTGAACTCTGGTCTTTTGCAATAAAAATAGAAATGTTGGAAGTACTCAGCAGGTTTGGCAACATATGTGGAGAGAAGTCGACATTTCAGGACAATATTTCATCAGTTTGGTCATTATCCTAAAGTGTAAACTCTGTTTCTCTCTCAACAGATGCTGTCTACCTGCTGAGTATTTCCAGTACTTGTGGTTTCTGTTTCAGATTTCTAGCAATCACACTATTTTGTTTGTGTGGAGGTATGGGTGGGGCAAGTAGTGATTGTAGAGTTTTCTTTCTTTACCATCTCTCTCCCATATACATCATGCCAATTCTTCCTTTCCATTGAAAGCAGTAAAAGGCAAAATTGGGTGGTTGTATAACGGAGAGGTGTACAGTGCAAGTGACCATCCACTGATTAAACTGCCAGCGGTCCATAGTGCATATTACCAATATTATCTAATCAGCTAGTTTTTGTTGTCACCGTTCCTTCTGTTGTTTTTATTGAAGTTCTTTATTTTTCTGAGATGGTGTTTACAAGACCAGCAAACCACCGGCAAATGACATTCCAGGAAGTATCCCACCAGGCCAAGGTATCTGTCAATGAGGTGAGTTTGAAGCTGATCATTTAAGTCACTGTTTGCGCAGAGGCTGTTCTCTGGTGAAACCCTGTCCAATCCTTTCTCCCACATCCAGTCATGATGGAGCCCAATTCTAGACGTCTCCAACATTTCCCCATTTTTGTGTTTGAAATGTATAACTTCAAGTTAGCATGTAAACAACCTGGGTAGATTAAATCTTTCTACTGCCATTTCCTCCAAGTTTCTATAACTTTGCACAGCAAAATCCTGGTAGTGTGAGCCATAAAGTTTGTACGTAGATGGAGGTGCTTTGCCAGTCTCCATTCAATACAGAAGGTATACTATGTCTAAAATGTAGAGGAAACTGTAAGATGTTGATGAAATTAGCTCTATTGAATAACAGTAAATAACCAAAAGGCCTACGGTTTTGGCCAGCTCTGTCATTACTAGTTGCAGTATGGCTTATCTCTTGTGCATCCGTGTTTTATCAGCTTCTTCCTTAATTGGTATCTAGGTGAGAACTCATCTGCCTGATAAAACTGCACATGATTTCTGAAATTTGAGCTTTTGACTTTGCATTTTTATCCTTTTTGACTTTTAACCGCCTAGCTGTTTCAGCTATGGGGTGGGATTTAACCATATCACTCCTGAAATCTACTGTAAACCCACATAGGAAGATAACCTTGTTCTTCACTTTAATTGAGAGATCAGTGCAATTAGTTTGCCAGCAACTGACCCACAATACTACCCTCTTCTCCTCTCCATGTTGTGGCTCTTTGTCTGGCACTACACAGGGGAAATTGACCTTAGCAAGCATCTGTGAAGGTGGGATTTATTAAACCGGCTGATATGAGGTCGTTCACATACTGTTTTAGTTCTTGTTCAACATGTTCTGTCAGGTTGAAATGCTGGTGATGAAAGCACTGTCTGCGGGCCTGGTGAAAGGGAGCATTGATGAGGTGGACCATAAAGTTCACATGACCTGGGTTCAGCCACGAGTCATGGACCTGCAACAGGTAAATCTTCAAATAACCTTCAGTTTCACAGTTACATATAAAAAGCCATCAGCTTGTTGTTTTTTTAAAAAAACTTAAGCCCACAAATTAGGAAGCACATTTTCCACATGGTGTAGTGAAAATTTGGAGTCCTTTAGCCCAAAATTCTGGATGGCATTGCCAACTGAAATTTTAGAGACTCTGGTGGATACATAGTTGTTAAGTAAGGGTGACAAGGATGTGAAAAAAAGACAGCAATTTAGAGAGGAGGTACAAAGAAATCATGATGTAATTAGAAGTACAGGCTTGAGGACTTGAACAGAACTCAGTAAAAGAAAAGAACTGCCAATGCTGGAAATGTGAAACAAAAACAAATTGCTGGAGAGACTTTGCAATATCTGTATAGAAAAAACAAGCACCACACTGTTCTGAAAAAGGGTCAGTGGAATTGAAATGTTAACTGTTCTTGAGCTGTTCTCCTGCCTTACTGTAAAAGAAGCAATTGAGCCTGGCTACTGGATTGAAAGAATTTATTCACTGGCTTGCATGAGCTGCCTGGGATACGTTGTCACAGTGTTGTGTTCCTCAAAAATAATTGGCTTAAAAATACATCTGCAAAAATCATCTAGTGAGTCATAAGCCGGCAGCATCACTCACTATGGAATTGAATCAATTGAAGTTGACTGTTAAATTTAACTTTCCCTACATAGAGTTAAAATATGGAAGTTTCTAACATCAGATTGAGATTACTATTTCATTTAAAACTGAGATTGTGAGCTGTCTGTTGTCTTAACACATGCAGCAGCATAAAGGAGAATCATGACTTAAAGGGTCTGCTCTGAATCAGTGGCAGCTGTCAATTCCAATCAGGAAGTTATGGGTTCAGAGACTCCAGCACATAATTCAAGCTGACAACACCAATTGGTGCTCAGGCAGAATCGTTAAACACAAGCCCCCTCATTTAGATGGATGTAATGCACTTCCCTTGGCCAGCAATTAACCCTCACTGACCTTTGCCTCCCTAACAGTTGAATGGCACTTAAGAAGTACAGCAATCCCTTCTAAATTTCCTTGGTTTTTAAAACCATCTTTCTTCCCCTTTCAGTCACAACCAAAAATAATTTTAGAAATGGCCTTTATGCCATTCATTGAATGAGTTCACAGCTAATCAGGGACCCATGCATTCGTGGTGAACCGGCACCCGCTGCGTAGTGGATTTGGGAAGTCTTCATGCTGCAGAAGCTAATCTAAATACATTATTTAGTATAACAGCAGTTCCATTAGTAAGTTAACATTGCATTTCTGGGCACAGCCCCCCGTCATTCTCTACCTATTCTATAGAAGCTACTGTCTGTAAATATACAATCAAAGTTTTACAGTGAATCTTAAACCATTGCTGTGGCAGGTGTTTACATCATCCAAACACATCCCAGTATATCTTTAGACTGTTTCCATGTGAGATGGTACTATCCTGGTGATTTCTGGTTATATTTAGTGTGTGAGTGTATGATTGAACCTTTAGGTATCTGGTATGAAGGAGCGGCTGGAAGCTTGGTGTGCTGATGTGAAGAATATCTCCATCCTCGTTGAAGACCACGCACATGAGGTTCTTGGCTGAAACCCCACTGCCCTCACATGTGATTTGAGTTTGTGTTTGTTGATGCTAATGTTTAAAAACAACACTGTTCTAATGTTTTGTTTGCTGCAAAAGCAAGTTAATCCTGTTATTTCCTTGTGAAATTTAAATAAACATATATCCTTTTGTGTGTTTACACAGACGATGAGATTTGTTAATTCAATGCGTTTGCATAGTTAAGGTTATAAATGTTTTGACGTTGCATTTTATAAGTTTTGTTTCTAGCCCCGTAAGTGAGCCATTCTGAATCTAGTTCGGGAAATACTTAAGAAATAGGGACAGGAGTAGGCCATTTAGACCATAAGACATAGGAGCAGAAATTAGGCCTTTTTGCCCATTGAGTCAGCTCTGCCATTCAATCATGGCTGATAAGTTTCTCAACCCAATTCTCCCACTTTCTCCACATAACCCTTGATCCCCTTGACAATCAAAAACCTATCTATCTCTGTCTTAAATATACTCAATGACCTGACTCCCACAGCCTTCTGCGCCAGTGAATTCCATAGATTCGCCAATCTCTGGCTGAAGTTTCTCATCCCTGTTCTAAAGGGTCTTCCCTTTACTCTAAGGCTGTGTCCCCGAGTCCTAGTCTCTCCTACCAATGGAAACATCTTCCCAACGTCTACTCTGTCCAGGCCGTTCAGTATTCTGTAAGTTTTCAATTAGATCCTCACTCATCCTTCTAAACTCCATTGAGTATAGACATTAAAACACAATCTGTCAAATGTACTGCCCTATCTGTTGAACCTTCCAGTATTATGCAAATTTTGTTGCAGTGCTTGATGTTGGAGGAACTTTACCCATAAGCATGAGGAAAGCATCTGAGAGAGAAATGCCAGTCAAAAGCTTGGAAAAATAACGAGTGGCCTGCCAAACTTTCCTGACTGGTAATAGAAGATATCTTTATAGCCACCACACAGCACTCCAAATAGAGGGGGAAAGCACCACAACGAGTCCAGTGATTAATTTGAGTTTCACTTTTTGAATAAGTTATCCCCTTTTGACATTCTCTATGGTGACGAGCAATGAAATTGCTTGATTTAATGTGGTAACAACTATAAATGTGCATGAGGAAATTAATGCTCTAAAAATATTTTTGCTCATCAGCAAATATTGCAACGGTGCAGTTCCTGAACTTCACCTTCAATGACTTACTGGTCCACCATTGCGATTTTCTTTTTGGTAATGAAACCCAAAAGTTTCAATCTTAAAAACAGTTAATGTGATGTTCAGAATTCCCAATTTTTATTCCAAGAATGTTTGCAAAAGAATGCACAAACTTTGATCCAGGGTAGTGAAGCTTCTCACTGTGAAGATTTTTTCAGAGAAACAAAATAAATGCACCTTGCTTAGTCAAAAAACAGTGCCCAATTAAGGTATGCTATCAAAACAGGAAGTGTTGGAAGAACTCACAACGTCTGCATCTGTGGAGAGAGAAACAAAGTTAGGGGTTCACGATCTGTGACTTCTTTTAGAACTGGAAAATGATAGGTTTTATTTTGACAAAGGGGGGTAGAAAAAGAGTACAAAAGATGGTGAGGTGCCCAGAACAAATGACAAGCAACTGGAAGGTCAGGCTTATTCTTATGAACGCAGCAGAGATGCTCCACGAAGCAATCACCCAGTCTATATTTGGTCTTGCCAATGTAGAGGAGACCCATGTAAGCGGCAAATATAATAGACTAGGTTGAAAGTACATGTAAATCTTCATTTAGGTATATTTGGGACCTTGGACAGTGAGGAGGAAGATGTAAAAGGTGTCATTTGCAGTTGCATGGGAAGGTGCTGTGGCAGTGGTCATGAGGAAGAGCCATGACACTTCTTCAGATGAGCAAGTTCTTCCTATTGTGTTGTGGTTGTGGCAATGGGGTCTCATGACCAGCAGAACCAGGAAGTAAAAGAGACCTTTAGATTTAAGTTTAGGTTTTATTGTTAAGTGTACACAAGTACGGGGTACAAGAGTACAGTGAAAAGTGCACCATGTCATCACACATGCCAGCATGTTAGATATTGTACCTTGGTATTCTGTACCTTAGTTGCAGAAGTAAAAAAAAAAGAAATAAGTTTTAAAAAGTGTAGTACTACAGTCATCTTAGTACAAAAGTGGAAAAATAAAGAAATGAAGTTTTAAAAAGTCAAAATTGTGAATATACTGGATGAATTAAAAGCAATCTTTCTAGTACTCAAGCTGAATACATAAGTATATTTGGATAAGAATACAACTGAAGTTATTGAAGAAAGTAAGGGTAGAAATTGGTGCTAGTCACTGCCTGAAGCTGCTCAACTGGCTGTGTCCATCCACAAGTTAAGCCTAAGACTATTTGACTATAGACGCAGTCATAGTTCATCTTTAACTTCAACCCTTCACACCAGACAAGCAGCACTTCCGTTGCAAGTTGCAGGCCTGCAGCTCTATCCTAAGGAACTGAAATGTCAGTTTTATAAGTATTGATTATCCTTATCTGCATTTCATCCTTCCAGCTATTTTGTTAGTAGTGAGTAGTATTTTGCAATAAACTAACCTCAATCATTTTAGGAATAAAGCTTCATTGTTGGTTATTTTAAGTTTAACTTTAATTAAGTTTAACTGCAAATTAAAAGGAGAGTACATGCATTCACACAAACACGCAAGAGCATGCACACAAATTCTGGGTGGAAGTACATTGTATGTGTTCATGACTATTTAGATTGTGAAAACGTGATTACTACCAAAGGCTGCCATACTATCAGAAGGAGTTGGAGGCCATGTCTGTCTATATTGGTGCCTCCCAGCTTAATGAGGTCTCTGTTTCTGTGCAATTTTGGTGGTTTGTTAGCCTGAGTTGTTTCAGCCGCAGTCTTATTGAATGGTGGAACAGGCTCGAAAAAACCAAATGTGCTACTCTTTCTCCCTACTCATGTTCTTTATGTTCTTTGTTTACAGAGGGTGGCACAGTGGCTCAGTGGTTAGCACTGCTGCCTGAAAGCACCAGGGGCCCGGTTTCGATTCCATCCTCGGGTGCCAGTCTGTGTGGAGTTTACACATTCTCCTTGTGTCTGTGTGGGTTTCCTCCAGGTGCTCCAGTTTCCTCCCACAGTCCAAAGATGTGCAGGTTAGGTGTACTGGCCATGCTAAATTGCCTGTGGTGTTCAGGGCTGCATACGTTAGGTGGATTAGCCATGGGAAATCCAGGGTTACAGGGACAGGGTAGGGGGGAGAGTCAGGGTGGACTCATTGGGTTGAATGGCCTGTTTACACACTGTAGTGATACTACCTGTGCCTTGAGTCTGATAGCAACATTCCTAACTTAATTCCTTTCCTTAAAAACAAAAACAGGAATCGCAGGAGAAACTCAGCAGGCCTGGCATTATTCCAGTGAGAAAATAGTTAATGTTTCGAGTCTAGTCACCATTCTTCCTTTCATTACACCTCTAATTCATCACAGATCTGTGGTATCTTATTCTTGTAATTAGGTAGGCTAGAGAAGCAGAAAGGTGTAGGTAGGGAATTCCTAATCTTGGGGTTTAAACAATGAAAGGCAAAGCACTAACAGTGGAGTGATTGAAACTGGGAGCGATTGAAACTGGGAGCGATTGAAACTGGGAG